GGAAGTTAGTGTGTTGGAATTAGTGAGACTGGCTCAGAACAGGGAAGGGTTCAGAGATGCTGTACATAGGGTCGCTATGGGTTGCATGCAACTCAGTGGCACATAACAGCAACAACAATATAAATAGACTTATATAGGGAGCGCTGATGCTGTGCTCCAAAAGGAATCACACTACTAACCCAAAAGCCCACTCATACTTGGCAATTCAGATCTACCAGTGACTCCATGAGAAAAAGATGGCCAGTATCCCCCTGTTCAATTTACAGCTTTACAGACCCAGTGGAGGGTCAACTATGAGTCAGTTCCTTCTAGATGGAAATTAGTGAGTTTTGAGGAACATTACATATCTACATATATAGCAAACTACACAGAAGGTATAGTTACAGCGCCTGCTTAAACAGATCCCAAAAACTCTTGGGATTGGTTTCCTGGCTCAAGAGCCTTTAACTGTAGTCTCAAAGGGCAGACATTCCAAATTTGGGGAGCAGTGTCTAGGGATTTAACGGCTTATGAGTGGCCATCGAAGATAGACTATTGGTCTCTACTAATACAGAGAAAATTATGCATGGAACTGATAGTCTACATGAGCTACAACTTTCCAAACCTGGAACCAAAAGACTGTACAATATCTGGCTACAGTTTTGACTACAAAAGAAAGTTCCAGATAGAAGAGAAAAAAAAAGTCAAACAAAATTAAAATTCCATAAAAAGACCACACATAGACCAAAAGAGACTAGAAGAGCCCCTGGAACTAATAACCTAAAATAAACTTTTAACATGGATTTGAATTTCTCTCTATGGGTCACCCTTCAGTAATATATTGGGTTACAAAATAAGGAATATCACACAAGTAATACGCTGCCAGATGGTGCAGGAAAGAACAGGTTCAGATCTTTTGTTCATATGATTACTATGTGTTGTATTCACCTCAACAGCACCTAACAACAATGTGCTCCCTGAAACAATGATCTATTGTTATTGTTATGTGCCATCGAGTCGCCTGCAACTCATGGCGACCCTATGTACAACAGCCCTAAACTCTGCCCTATCTTGTGCCAGTCTCACCATCTTAAACACACCTACCCTCACTACCCTAGTCACTAAATCAAGCCATCTCATCGAGGGCCTTCCTCTCCTGCGTTGTCCTTCCATCCTCCCAAGCATGACGTCCTTCTGCAAGGACTGGTCCCTCCTTGCAACATGTCCAGAGTATGTCAGACAAAGCCTCAGAATCCTTGCCTCCAAGGAGCATCCCAGCATCACCCTCTCCAGGACAAATCTGTTTTCGTAGCAGTCCATTGTATATTCAATACTCTTCTCCAACACCACAGCTCAAAGCCATCAATTCTCCTTCTATCATCCCTAGTCATTTTCCAGCTCTCTGATGCATAGCAAGTGATTGCAAAGACCATGTCATGTATCAGGCACACCTTAGTCTCCAGACTGCCATCTTTGCACTTCAGCACTTTAAAGAGGTCTCTAACCACAGACTTTCCCATTGCTACACATCTTTTAATTTCCTGGCTGCTGGTGCCAAGAGTATTGACTGTGGATCCAAGCAAACCAAAACTGTGAAAAATCTCAATCTCTTCACCATCCTTTATGATGCTGCCAATTGGCCCAGTGGTGAGAATCTTTGTTTTCTTGATGGTCTTGTTTACACCAAAAACAAAGAAGAGAAAGCAAGAAAGAGAGCAAATTCAGTGGAAACAGAACAAAGATAATGGAAATAACAATGCTTAGACATTGTAAACATTGTAACCAATGGCATGGAACAATTTGTAAATACAGTGGTAAAGTGCACCTCATTTGTTGATAGACACTCATCTAAAAATATAAAATATTAAATATTTTAAAAAGATAAATAGACATGAAGGCTTAAATATTGTTGTGGTTGTTGTTATGTGCCATTGAGTTAAGTACAACTCATAGCGACCCTATGAACAAAAAATCTGAACCCTGTTCTAGCCTACGCCATCCTCACACTTCCTGACACCGAAGAGCCCATTGCAGCAGTCACCCTGTCAATCCATCTAGTCAAGGGACTTCTTCTCCTTCACTGAACCTCTACCCTTCCCAGTATCATGTCCTTCTCCAAGGAATAGCCCCTCCTAGCAACATGCCCAAAGTATATGAGGCGAAGCCTCATCATTCTTGCCTCCAAAAAGCACTCTGGCTGCACCCTCTCCAAGACTTATCTGTTCTTTTGGCGTCCATGGGATATGCAGTGCTCTTCTCCCACACCACAGCTCAAAGGCATCAATTCTTTTTCTGTCATCCTTATTCATTGTCCAGTTTTTGGATGCATAATAAGTGATCAGAAAGACTATGGCCTGAATCAGAAGTTAATCTTACTTCAATTTGGAAGAACCAATGAAAAGTACACATTAGATATCACAAGGCCTTTAAAAAAAGGCATTCCTTTAATGATAGAAGTGATGAAGAGTGGTCTGGGCAGGGCCTACCAAGAGTAGAGACTCCAAAAATGTTCAAATATGTAGGCAGAAAGAAATTAGTCACTAGCAGTCTGTGTGTGACAGATCCTATTAGCTGCAAAACTTGTGCAAACAGAGTATATATGCAGTAAATATTATTTGTTGGCTAATTTAATCTTTGGTCTTGCATATGTGTGTATTGTTTTTCAAATGAGTTGTAGACATGTAACTCACAACTTTGAAGCCAGACAAAACAAGTTTAAATTTAAGATGTGCTATAACTATGCAAAATTCATTCAGGTTCTGAAGAGCGATGTTTTTTGTTCTTAATTACAATGGAAGTAAAAAGATAACCTTTGAATTGTGACTGTTAATTGAAGTAAGGCAAATAAATAATTTGCCATTTAACAATCAATAAAACAGTTTTTATTCTGAGTGATCTAGAAATTAAACTGCAAATTCATCTCGGTCTATAATATGACAAGCCTACATGAAGTGTATGGGAGTTCTGGTGGCTTAGTGATAAGGAATTGCGGTACCAACACAAAGGTATATGGTTCAAATCCGTCATCTATTCCACATGAGAAAGAAGGGTAGTGTCCTGTGTGATCTACTGCTTCTGAAAACCCACTAGAGGATCAGCAATGGTTGATTCTGACTTTGAAGGCACATAACAACAACATTACGTATACAATATGTATAGCTTGCTCAGTTCCACAGTCAACAGTCTTGGGACCAGCAGTCAGGAAATCAAAAGATGAATTGCATTAGGAAAATCTGCTGTCTGAGAGCTCTCCATAGTGCTAAAGAGCAATAATGTCAGTCTAAGACTAAGGTGCATCTGATCCAGGTCATGGTCTTCACAATAACTTGCTATGCATCAGAGAGCTGGACAATGACTAAGGATGATAGAAGAAGAAATGATGGCTTTGAGTTGTGATGCTGGACAAAAGTATTGAATATACCTTGGACTGCCATGAGAGAGCAAACATGTCTCTCCTGGAGAAGGTGAAACCAAGTTGGTCCTTGGAGGCAAGAATTTTAAGGCTCAGTCTCACATTCTTTGGGCCTGTTACCAGGAGAAACCAGTCCTTGGATAAGGGCATCATGCTTGGAAGGGTAGAGGGACAGTGCGGACGAGTAAGATTCCAGAAGAGTAAGATTCCAGAAGAGATGGCATGACACTGTAACTGGCATAAAGAGGGTAGGTGTGTAAGTTGTTATGTGCCATAGAGTTGCCTGCGACTCACAGTAACCCTATTTACAACAGCCCTAAATAATCTCTGACACACCTACCCCCATTACCCCAATCACTGAATCAGTCCATCTCATTGAGGGTCTTCCTCTCTTGTGCTGTTCCTCCACCCTCCCTAAGCATGACGTCCCTCTCCAAGGACTGGTCCCTCCTTGCAACCTGTCCAGAGTATGTCAGACAAAGCCTCAGAATCCTTGCCTTCAAGGAGCAGCCTTGTCTCACCCTCTCTAGGATGAACCTGCTTGTTCTTCTAGCAGCCCTTGGTATAGTCAGTACTATTCTTCATCACCACAGCTTAAAGACATCAATTCTCCTCTGTCATCCCTAGTCGTTGTACAGCTTTCTGATAAATAGCAAGTAATTGCAAAGACAGTGGTCTGCATCAGATGCACCTTAGTCTCCAGTCTGACATCATTGCTCTTCAATACTTTGGAGAGGTCTCTGACTGCAGACTTTCCCAATGCAATTCATCTTTTAATTTCCTGGCTGCTGGTACCAAGAATGTTGATTGTGGAACCAAGCAAACTAAAGCTGTTAATAATCTCAATTTCTTCACCATCTATCATGATGCTGCTAATTGGCCAGATGGTAAGAATCTTTGTTTTCTTGATGTTGAGCTTCAATCCATATTAAAAGCTATATGTAGTCCTTGACTTACTGCAGCAAGTGCTTCAGGCCCTACTCAGTTTCAGCAAGCCATGTTTTGTCAGCTGCATAATGCAGATTGTTGATGAGTCTTCCTCTAATTCTGATGCCATATTTCTCTTCATAGAGCCCAGCCTCTCAGATAATCTATTCTGCATATAGATTGAAAAGGTATGGAGATAGGATGCATCCCTGGGATGTATTTCCTTGCTCTGTTTTGACAACTGCCTCCTGGTCCAGTTATAGGTTTTGCATTGTTAGCACAATCAAGTGTTTGGGGATTCCTATTCAGGGTAGGTCAGGGTTTAGAACTATTGTGCAGAGAGTCACTATGAGTCCCCATCAACTCGGCAGCACCTAATAACAACATGTGTAGTATAATCATAAAGGGAGTGCTGGTGGTCCATGGTAAGGAGTTGAGCTGCCAACCCTTACCACTAGGCATGCAGTTTGAGTCCACTAGTGGCTCTGAAAAAATAAATATGAGCAGTCTCTTTCTGTGCAATTAATTACAGCTTCTGAAAACGCACTGAAGGGTCAGCTATGAGTTGGTTCTGACAGGACCGGACATAACAATATTAAGGATCAGCATAGCAAAGTTAGATCACAAGTATTTTTATTACTCTGTTTTCTATAAAATTTGAAAGAAAACATTCCATTTCTAGGTTTAATTTACGTAGTTGGGGGCATCAGCAATGAAGGAATAGAGCTTCGATCTTTTGAGGTTTATGATCCACTTTCCAAGCGCTGGTCTCCACTTCCTCCAATGGGAACCAGAAGAGCATACCTTGGGGTGGCTGCCCTGAATGACTGCATCTATTCTATTGGAGGATGGAATGAAACACAAGATGCTCTTCACACTGTAGAAAAATACTCTTTTGAAGAGGTAGGTTGAATAATTTAAAATACTTTGTATTATCCTATTAGTATTATTTTAATGTTTATAATATCAATATTGATGAGCTTTTATGTTCATGATACTGATAATTTTGTTTCTGTGTGTTTTTTTTCCAAAGAACCAGCTTTTAATGCCATTTTTAAAAACCCAAAATTTTTCTTCCATTTCCCACTTCATTGATTTCTGTTAATATTTTTCTCTTTTGTTTTAGATTTAGTTTTCTCTTCTTTTTTTAGATTCTTAACGTGGATGTGAGATTATTTTAGGCCTTCTTGTCTATCTAGTATAAATCTTTAAAATTATAAACTTCTCTCAAGCACTGCTTTGGGAAATTTATACCTGCATCACATACATTTTAACATTCTGTGTTTTAATTAGCATTTATCTAAAAATAGTTTTTAATCCCTTTTGTAATTTCTGTTCTGACTAATAGGTAATTAGAAGTGTGTTATGCGGCTTGACAGGCAGGGACAGGAGGGGAAGGAGAGAGCAAAGACTAGTGAACGGATGAGTAAGGTGTGGGGAAGGTTTCAATAGGACATTGTGAATAAAGTTATTATACAATGGTCATTGTTGTTATAAAACAAAACTTATAAGTGACTGAAGCAAACCAATAAAATGAAAGTGTGTTATACAATTTCCAAAGATTTAGGGATTTTCCAGGCATCTCTTTTGTTACTTTGTTCTACTTTAATTCCACTATGACCATTGGTTTGGTACATGTTTCATGTATAAAAAATTTTGTTGAATGTTGTGGTTAGGTGCCATTGAGTTGACTATGACTCATAGCAACCCTGTAAACAACAGATCTAAACCTTGTCCTATCCTGCACCATCCTCATGATGTCCAGTATGCTCCAATCCAGTACTTTATCACTGTGTCAGTCCATCTTGTTGAGGATCTTCTTCTCTTTCTCTGACTCTCCACCTTTCCCAGCATGATATCCTTTTCTAAGGACTGGCCCCTGCTAACAACCTCCCCAAAGTATGTGAGAGAAATTTCATCATCCTCACCTTTCAGGAGCACTCTGATTGCACTACCTCCAAGATAGACTTGATTGTTCTTTTGGTAGTCCATGGGATGTTCAGTACTCGTATTCAGCACCACAACTCAAAGACATTCTTTTTCACCGGTCATCCTTAGTCATTGTCTAACTTTTCACATTAAAATGTAGTTAAAAAGACAATGGCTTGGATCAAGCACACTTTAAACTGACATCATTACTCTTTAACACTTTAAGAGATTATTGACAGTCGTTGTTGTTGTTATGTGCCATCGAGTCGCTTGCGACTCATAGCAACCCTATGTAGAACAGCCCTAAACTCTGCTCTGTCCTGCATCCCGATTCCCCCAGTCACTGAATCAATCCACCGAATCAATCCACCTCAGAGAGGGCCTTCCCCTCCTGCGCTGTCCCACCACCCTTCCAAGTATGATGTCCCTCTCCAAAGACCAGTCCCTTCTTACATGTCCAAAGTATGTTAGACAGAGCCTCCGATTCCTTGCCTCCACGGAGCCACCTGGTTTAACCCTTTCCAGGATGAATCTGTTTGTTTTCCTAACAGTCCATGGTACATTCAATACTCTTCTCCAGCACCACAGCTCAAAG